ATCCAGAGGAAGAGAGAGAGCCAAACTTTTTTCCAAAGTTAACTTTTTAAAAATTTCTTCCTTAACACAACTCAGATAGAAACCAAACGACAGTGACTTGTAAAATTTGCAGGGAACCGGTAAAAACAAAGTATGGTAACACAACCAACTTGTTTTATCATCTAAGCAGCTCACACCCAATGGAGAATGAGCTGTGTCAGCCCCGGGACTGTACCACAACGTCTGAGAAATCTTCAGGAACTTCTGACTAAACAAAGCAGGCAAAGCAAGCTAAACTGGGCTTCCTTCTTTGTAATAAATAGGAAAAAGTGTCCATTTGGCATAAGGACATCACTCATGCAGTAACATGCTTTATAGCGATGGATGTGCTGCTATTGTCTGCAGTTGAAAAACCTAACTCTCAACAGCTGCTTTTCACTCTTGAATACTAAGTTCTGGTCTGCAAGTTTTTCTCTAACTCAGCGCTCCCTAATTTGTACACTGAGTTTAGGGAATCAGTGCAAAATGGGCTGCAATCTGTCTCTGTCTACTACGCCACAAAATCGAACCTCTGCTCAAGTCGCACATCCGAGCCCTACCTCCACCTCAATTCACTACATAGACAGAGAATGGAACAGGAGAAGTAAGTGTCTAGGATCTTTTAGATAACTATCGATATTGATCAATATGCATTTTTTTTTGTATCCATATGCTTTTTTTCTATACCTCCCAGCCCTAATGAATAATATATTTTTTCCTGTAAAAGTAGTTTGCAACACTGCATTACAATAATTGTGCTCCATATTTGCATTGCACAGACAAAAATATTTCAGGTAAAAAAAAAAAAAAACAACACCAACTGAAAGAGTAACACACATATATATAAAAAAAACACTGAAAAAACAAAAACCTTGAAATTGTATGTGTCAGGTTTCCTGTTTGAACATACTGACACAAGGGCTTTACATTGCATCCTTTTTTAGAAAGTGAGGTAAACCAACATGTCTCTGATCAAAGATCTGAGACAAGCAGCCGCCGTAACACACATAAAAAAGAAGGTAAGGTAAAGTTGTGGATCTCTGTAAATGTAGATGTATAGGAACAGAAGCTGCTGATTACGAGTAGGCTCAAATTTCAGTGACCAGCCATGAGATCAATCCACACATACCTCTGTGTCCTTCCTCCCCATCATCTTTCATCTCTCCCTTCGCACCTCATAACTCATTATCAACAACCTACTACCCTCTGCCCACTTCTGCCTAAGACCAGTTTTTCATCTAGCTGGGAGTTTCAGGGCTTAGTGCAGCCATAAATAATCAGCAGAACCTAACATTGATTTCTACTTTACCCACTCTCCTCAATGCTCTTTATGCTTACTCTGGGTTGCATTTAAAATTACAACTTAAATGGAAAATTAAACAAGATATTAAATAAATACAGCACAATATTTACAATTCTTGTGGTTTATGAGCATAATACAAAATTACTTACAGCTTAGCGACTAAGATAATTATAGAGACTGCTTCCCATGTGTTTACATAGAAAATGCAAATGCAGTCACCCTTCAACCCATAGCATCAAAAGGAAAACACTCTGCACTAATCAAATCAATGCTTTAATAACTTTTCCAACTTTCAATACAATGTCAGAGTAATCTAATCATTCGTACTCATTCCTCACCTTCCTTCACTTCATCTTTTTTATGCTGTCATGCAGGCATGCAAAAGAATTTTGCTTTCAGAATAAGGCTTTCCTCCCCCATCCCTGCAAATTCTGACCGATATCAACATACAGCTTGTGGAGGGAATGTGTGCAAAGGAAAGCCTATATGACAGCAATGGTTCAGATAGGATAATAAGGAAAACATGTTGACATTTAATATATAGTTTCAGATTTAAGTGAATCAGACTAACAACTCTAAAATATTTTTTTTGTGAAAAAACTCACTGTTTTTTAAGTAAGACACTGGGGGTTCAAAGCAAAGATATTTCTAAGATCAAGCTAGAGAGTCAGGGCCAAATTGTGCAGCTATGCTTTCAGAATCTGTTTTCATTTTTAAAGACAGCCGAATGTCAGACAAATCTGACATGCGATAGAGATAAAATGTTATGAAACTACACATGGAAAAATACTTTATTAAAATTTATAGAGGCTTTTTTTAGGGGAATAAATCATGCTATTTTGGATATGAAAATATACAAATCTTGAAACATACATAAAGATCATTTAGCTTTTTCACCTGTTTTTACAATTTTAGGATATTCTTTTTAGAAAGAATAAATCGGCTTTTTGAGTGACACCTTCTAAAATAGGAAACACTTTGATCTGTGGACCATGATGAAGAATTTGCATCACGCCATCTAGAAATCGTAAAAGGTATTCATAGCAAAGAAAGACTTTTTGATAAAAAAAAAAAAAGAAGAAGATCTGCTTATAAGGAGAATAAAGAAATCACTATTGTTATTAGTGAGCCCTTAAGATATCTGATGTTTATAGCTTATATTTCAATTAGGCTGGACAATTATTCACAATTGCACTAGAATTGCAATTATAAAAATCTCCATTTTGAAATTGCAGAGGCACTTAATTTTGATCACATAACAGTTTAAAGAAATAGTACACCCAAAACATGATTAGCCTT